TTTTAATTTTTAAAGGACCCTCCATACTATTAAGTGGCTACACTGATTTACATTACCAACAACAGTGTGCAAGTGTCCTTTTCTTCACATTCTTGCTAGTACTTGTTATTTCATGTCTTTTTGATGATAACTATTCTAACAGATATGAGGTGATAATTTCATTATGGTTTTAATACACATTTCCCCGATGATTAGTGATGCTGAACATCTTTCATATGCCTGTTGGCCATCTGTACGTCTTCTTTGGAAATGTCTATTAAGATCCTTTGCCCATATTTTAATTGGAATTTTTGTTACTTAGTTTTATAAGCTCCTTATGCATTTTGGACATTAACCTCTTATTGGATGTATGATTGCTAATATCTTCTCTCCACCAGAGGAATCTTTTTATTTTGTTGGAGGTTTCTGTTGCTGTGCAGATGCTTTTTAGTTTGATGTAGTTCACCTTGTTTAATTTTGCTTTTGTTGACTTTTCTTTGGAGTAAGACTGATGTCAAATAGCTTACTGTCTATTTTCTTCTAGCTTACTGCCTATTTTCTTCTAGAAATTTTATGACTTCAGGTATTACATTTATCTTTTACCCTTTTAAAATAACTTTTGGGTATGGTTTAATTTCATTTTTTTTTTCATGTGGCTATCCAGTTTTCAACACCATTGAACGAAGAGACAATTTTTTTCTCATGGTGTATGCTTGATACCTTTGGTATATATAAATTAACTAACCATGTATATGTGCGTTTATTTCTGACTCTCTCTTCTGACTGTCTTCTGATCTATGTGTGTATTTTTATGTCAAGAGCACATTGCTTTGATTACTGTAACTTTGTAGTATAGTTTGGAATCAGGGAATATAATACCTTCAGATTTGTTCCCCCTCAAATTTGCTTTCGCTTTTTGGAATTTTTAGTGGTTCCATATAAATTTAGTATTATTCCATTTCAGGTTTATTTCCATTTCTGTGAAAAATGCCATTAGAATTTTGATAGTTAGTACATTGAGTATATGTAATGCTTTGTGTAATATGTACTTTTTAAAAAAGATTTATTTATTTATGCATACAGAACTGGGGTACAGGCCAGAGGAACAGGGGTGGTGAGAGGATTCACCAGAGGCAGAGCAGCGAGCAGGAAAGGCAGATCAAAAAAGTACACTGCTGAGGGGAGCAGTG